CCCACAAAACAGAATGCCTGTAGCCCAATGCCAAATTCCCGCTGCCTTCCGACCAGGTTCTTTAACCTAGGAGTTTGGTTGATAACCATCATCTTTCTCCTGGCTAAACCTGGTCAACCTGACAGTGTCCTGCTTACGCAATACAGTGACGTCTTCAAATAATATCTTGATGCCCTGGACGTTGTAGAAGATATCAACGGTGCCCTATCTGTTGCATCGAGCCCGTTGGACAGGGATGCGGATGCTACTGCTCAAGCCTTCCATATTCTTACTCACCTTCTTACTCCTTTTCATCCTCATCGTCTTGTTGCTACTTCACTTTTATCCCCCTATTCTTGGCCCTTCCTCATCTTACGTCTATAGTCGTTTATCTTCTAGTTTCGATTCACATACAATCGCAGTCACTTCTACCCTGTCAGCAATTGCATGTCAAACCATGCGGATAATCTCAATTCATCCGCCTCTAATTTGGAGCCCTCGGTCCTTGTTGAGATTAGTAAACTTGAACTTCCGCATTTTGTTACAAATCGATTAACAGGTATGGCACAGGAAGAAAAAGTGAACCGCTCAGCACCGTTATTTCACGCACCAGGCTCCGATGGCTGGGTCACGTATTGCGCATGCCAGAACACAGAATCCGGCGTCATGCGTTGTTGGCGCGATTGGGGTGTGGATGGAAGAATAGGAGAGGCCAACTGATAACTTGGTCAAGAGCAATGAAGGCCCTTAGATAGATTTTTACCTCAATTGTAGTGTCTCGGCTCCCTTGTTGGGGCCCGAAAGACGGTGATCACTTGTTGTTATGGCTAAGAGTCGACCTCAGTGGCGTTTGTGTTGTATTTTTGTCCCTCCCTTCAACCACTATCTTATTTCAGGCCTATAATTTAACTTTTTACGGCAAATAGTCGGCTGTCAACTCTTCGGTACGATGCCCATCCGTTAATGTGGCTCAGCTGGCTTGTCTCTGTTATTTTTATATATATCTTTTTCCCATGTATAGCGGCATAATATCTAAGGTGTTTCCCACCTCTAGCTAGCGTGTATAATGAATGAATGACGAATGATTAACATACATCACTTGCTCAAACACCTGAGACCCTATCGATTGATACCTGCTGATCACCTGAAACCTGCCTGCAAAACCCCAACTGTGCTCACTCAACGATGGCCGTATTTCCTCCCTGCGTCTATCTGGACACGATGCAGTTTCGAATCGCGATCAAGCCTGTGTGGGCATTGCTCTGAGTCTCCGGCCTGAAGATGCGATGAGCAATTTAATTCCAATCAGCAGCCGGATGTGGGCCGTTTAACTTTCTGGCCCATTCAATGCGTTGAAGTGGCGCGAGACAAATAGGTGCTCATTTTTCCTTGCTGCCTACGACCCCACAAACCGTAGCGCTGACTACGTGGAATAAGACTTTTATCATCAAGCAAATGAGCTGCTTTACCACAGAAGAAGCACGGACACTGTAGTGCTGGCTGCGGATCTGAAGGCTCAAGTTGGAAAACTGTCCACTGATGAGCTGCATCTGAGCGGCCAGCATGGTGTAAACTTCCGTAATGATAACAGTGAGCAGTTGCTAAACTTGTGTGAAGACATTCTTCTATCTCATGCATTAACTTCCGTATTATGAAACAGCCAAAACCAACGAATAGCGACTCAGAGCATCGGGTTTCTGCAGTTTCGATCCCGGAGGCACCATGGAAACACCAACAATCATCAGCAAAACGCAGATTTTGACTGATAGGGCACGTTTCGTTGGCATCTGGCTTTGTCGAAACGTTTATTGACTACGGAGAGCTCCAAACTGGCTAGGGGTGTAAAGGGAACTGCAGATTGATTGGTGAGAAGAGAGTATAGCTAACTACAAAGAAGTTCTATGGTCGGTATCTGCAACGACCAAAACGCATAAGCTGAGCCACGCGTAGAGATGATCTTAAATCATTGAAAACGCAGAGTGGATCCAAAATCTATGATGCCGCCTACAAGTGGTCGACAACACTAAAAAAGCAACTCTAACTGCTCGCGCTCATAGGTCGACAACAAATAGCGCAAGATAAGTGCTCAAAACAGCCAATGCACACAAAATTGTCACGTCACCGAAATGCAAATGAAGGGGCTGATAGGTTGGCTTAAAACTGGTCAATCGATGGGTAGACTCGCTCAATTTCCTGACAAGATGGAGTAATGTGATGCGCATCTGTGTGTGGACAGGCGGTGAAAAAGGGTTCACAATGAGCGGTTCAGGTCGCTTTGTGGACGATGAGTCGGACGAGGTGAACACCAAGACACGCCCAGAAATACAGAGGACGGGATAAAGTTGAACATGTACATACACGAACAAAGAACAGGCCGTAATGCCAAACGTCTGAGGATCCGTGAAGTGCAAAGTGAACGTGGATCAGGAGAATTTCACACGGACTGCAGAGTTCTGCTAGAATATCCTTAGGCAGATCAGAAATCCGTGCCACTGGGAGTGGAGGTTTATGACTCAGATAGATCTAGTGATGTAGTCCTCTACTATCGTAGTTATGGCGCTTTGGCTTCACGGACCCACCGGAGCACTTGGGAATGTTTGCACATACTGACTCGTAATCTTGGTAAAGTAAGAAGACAAAAATGACTTGTGATTTTTTGGGATGCTGTTACATCACATAAGCTCGATTTCAGTGTGAGAACTGAGAACTGAGAACTGGTGGGAAGCAGCGAGTAGAGGTTGCTCTGTGTGGCTGCATCAATCGTCGTTTTCGGACATGAACTCTTTATTTTTCGTTTCGCTCTCTGTACTTTGCCTCTGCAAATTGTTGGTCTAGTAGCATCTTGAATTTAGACACGGTGTTCGCTTCTACTATATGCTGAGGCAGGTCGTTCCAGACATTCACCACTCTGCGTTCGAAACAGAGTTGATGGGCGACCCGCTTCAAATCCGGGACGATAAGTTTATACCGGTGTCCTCGCGTGCAGCTTGGTGTGCGCAGATGAAGTAGTTGTCTCAACATGGGGTAATCACCCAGATGTAATATCCGGTGCGTCATGATGAGGTCAACCCTCAGCCGACGATAAGATAGGGTGTATAACCCTAGTTTCTTACATCGGTCTTCGTACGACATACCTCGTAAGTTGGGAATCACCCATGCGCCGATGAACGAGAACCAAGTGGCTGAACGTGCCTTGAAACTAGTACCTGAGAGGAACAGTAGTTGTTTTCGCATGACGTGATAAGTCCGTTTACATCACCAGGAAGATTGTTGTTGACGCCCAATGGAGCGACGCTTACATAGCAACAAGTGGGCAACTCGAGCATTGAGATCCTTAACAAGGACAAACGCGCCCGATTCGTTCTCTAGTTAAAAGATGGGGAGTTTCGTGATAGAATTCGCGCTTGATCACAGCTGAAGTCAGTTGAAATATCGGGAGAAAAGGAGAAAAATTACGTCACTCCTCGTGGTAACTGTTGATCCCTTGCCGGTTCCGGAACACAATCGCACATAGCGGAACGGTAAGAATCAAACAATCAAGCAAGGTATCATCCGATTCGATGGTGTATAATGGGTAAAAAAGCGGATGCTTAACAAATCCCGTAAGATGGCCAGAATGAGAACCAGGACGTGGTGAATAGAAAACACAGGGATACAATGAAAATTGTTTTGGTGGACTCACCACAGTGTTCACACACAGAGGTATGCGTAATAGAGTCTCTCTTGATTGTTTATGGTAATGCTTGTTGGTGTAACATTATAACGCATCTCAATGTACACAGCCGATATTTCGTAGTGCAGGTGTGTTAGGACAACATCGAGGCATTTTTAAACATAGATACAGTGGGGCAAAAATAAGGTAATTAGGGAGGGCGTTTTTAAGTTTACATACACTGATAGAGTGAACGTTTTTGTGACATTCTAGCCGGCTGTATTGCGTGGTCAACTTAAACTGACGGCCCCTCAGATACGTGTTGTTGCTGTTGCATTAGGTGGCGGCAGACGGTCGGTTAGGAGATGTCTATTGAGATAGAGTTTAGAATGAGCAGCAAATTACGATAAATAAATATATTATTCTCGACAACACAAAGCACGACCATACAGAGATGATCATGATTAGTTTACTGTGCAACCGATACGATCGTCCTTGCATTGGCTGTTAATCTGAAGGAATGACTAAGGATCCAACCCTTTGGACATTGGTGAACCAGTGTGTACGATGAGACAGGATTTTTAACAGCAGAATATTTGACATATGATGCACTTGAGACCGTGAGCTTCAGTGTACAACTTACTGATAGGAAAATGGGCTGTCACCAGCGTAACAAGTGATCGAAGACAAGTTGAATCGTTTTAGCCCATTATACCCGCAGAATAAAACGGCGTCAGCAGTACACGAGCACCGTCTGTCGCGCGTGAACCAAGGATTCGAACCCTGGTGATCTATGACCTGCAACGCAAGCGCCTCATCCCTTAGTCAACAACCGACGGGAAATTCGCTTACCGATCAGAAGTATACTGTATAACAATGTCTACATTGATGGTGGGAATGTCAATGGTCACTCCATTTTCTTTTAAATTTTGACTGATAGGATCACTGATGTGCCTGCGTCTTCAAGATGAGGAGGCATTCTGCCAGATGATCGATCAGCAAAGGTGCGGTGTGTGTGTGTGTGTGTGAACCATATAGTTTTCACGCGACCAGACCTTATCATTATGTAAGTGTTGCTGAAGTGGCTTGTGCACCGCACTCCACGAAGCGTTGAGATGCACTTGTACCTTCCACATGCAAGGTATTGTTGTAGAACTGAGCCGAAATGCTACCGGTTCCTATTTGTTCGGTACAGCAGCTACCTGAGGCTGGTAGATCAGCTCAGTTATGTAGGTACATATTTCTCGTGGCTAACGTATGGATCAAAGGCAGTCAGTGCACGGTAGGGGCATTAAGGGACGGAATGAAAATATGTAAATCAGTCTCTGCTTTCGAAAAATCTATACATGGTACACGCATCTGGACATACCTGGTCGTTGGTCAACAAATCTTGTCCAAGACCTGGAATCGCTGAAAGAACTTGAGAAAACGAACCGATCTTGAGTATGTTCTGGAACTGCTCGTACATGTTGCGCAGAGTGAACACGCCCTGTTTGAGCTTCTTCACCAATTCCTCATTCTCATCCAACTTTAACTCGGTTACCTAAATGAAGATAAAAAATATATATATATATTCGCGTTTCGAGAGCAGGATCGCGTAAGAGGCTTTCTGGGTGAAAAGACTTGAATGGTACAAAGTTCACTTTGTGACTGTCATAAAATATATGTACGACTGTTATACATACAAAGGTAAAAACAAATGGCTTCACGAAGTTCAATTGTTACGTAGTCAAGGATGTCAGTATCGAAACAACGAAGGGGCGTGCGGACTTCATTTTAGCTTAATTCAAACAACTATCATTCGGACAGTGGAGCGTGGTAGATCCAGATGACACGACTCGCATCACTGAGTAACAACAATGATCAAAAAAATTGATGTTGAACGCAAAGTCTGACTGTACACATTCGGTTACTGATTGGGATCTAATCGGCTGGATCTAATCAGCCCGGAGCAATGCCCACGACCAGCGTCACGTGAAGGTCATCGTAGAGTGAGCACAGAGCAGGAGTCTTGCAAACAGGTTTCAGATGAGCAACAGATATCACTCGATGGGGTCACCAGTGTTTGAGCAAGTGCTGCCTGTCAATCGGTTTATAATAAAGTGCGGAGGTTCAGGCCTGCCAAACCTAGCGAGCATCTAGGGCTCTAATTAGAGGCGGAGGAATTGAGATTGTCCGCATGGTTGGATATGCAATAGACGACAAGGCAGAAGTGACTCTCTGTCATTGTGTGAGCATCGAAACTAGAAGACAAACGCCCATCAATGTAGAGTCAGGGAGGGTCTAGAATAGAGCGATAAAAGTGGTTGGAGCGGGACGATAAGGATGGAAAAGCGTGAGGTGGAATAAGAAGACGGAAGGGGCTTGAGAGGTTGCATCCACACCTCTATCCAACGTGCTGGGTGTAGCAGATAGGGCTCCGTTGATTATTCTCAAAGACGGTCAGAGCATTCCGAAATTTTGAAAACTAAAGATTTAAATGAGTTTCCAAGTTACTAAAATCATCAAGAAATTTCTTGAAAAAGTCACCACATTAAGCTGAATATTTTCAGGTTTCCCAGGTTTTTACAAGTGTGTGATCAGGATTCTCAACAAGAGCCTGACCGTAAAATAGTGGGACTTGGGCAGTAGGCTACCGGGTGCATTTTGAAGAATAAGGACCCAACCTCAGTATAACCCCCAAGTTGGAGGACTAGGAGGCTGCGTTTATCTGGCCTCTAACCATTGACCGCTCTGGTACGATTGACTCTGCAGGTGCAAGTAGACTAGCTCAATTGATCATTGAGGCAAGCAAACTGTCGCACGACGTAAAGGTCCAGTCTCGTTGCAACAGCAGTCTGACGGCACATCTTCAGTGACCAAAATTGCGTGCATAGAGTATGGATTCCGGTCGAGAGTCGCCTACATCCTTTAGCAAAGATTTAAGGTCTTCAGGTCCAAGAGCATTGTTTCGTTTCAACATGACAAGTCTGTCAGGCTCCGCGGTCCAACAGCTTGAAAGTACAACGTCGCCGCGCGGCTCTAGCCTTGTACTTCACTCTTACGCACTTCTCTACCCTATGTTGTCGGCTATCTTGCCAGCAGCGTGTGAGTTGACGTTAAGTCAGTAAAATAAATAATAATGTGTCAGCTGTACGCCGTAACGCCCCTTCACTGCGGTGCGACCACCACCAGTCGCACGCGGGCTGAGTATACCGCGAGGATGGTCACTCCTACGCGGATTCGAACCCACGCCGTAAGATTACGAGACAAGCACGTTTCTCCTAGAGTACGGGCCGAGCGTTAGGTCCATACACTGTCCAGTGCGGTGAAACCTTTGTTCTGACGGCCCTACGTCCCTTCAACCGGGATGGTGATGGCTGATCATTCACAGTTAATACAATTATTGCAATCACATCAAGATTATATCCAAGATTATATATATATATATATATTATATATTATATTATATTATATATCAAGATTATATCCAGATTATATATCCAGATTATTATATATTATATTATATTATATACAAGCTTAGTAAGCTTGTACGCTACATATCACTGCACTGAGGATGCCACCTCGCATGGTGGTGAAACGTTTGCGAGAAAATCGCCAAGCTCGGGGAACAAATGAGCAATTGACAACTAGTACTGCAACTTCATTCTACCGAGATTTTCCCGCGACTGCAATTTGAAGGAGACTGTCGATGTCCTCGCCTTCATTTTTGGCGAAATGTCATCAATTTTCAACATCCGTTATCAGTGTTCGAAACCGGTTAAAAATTAATCCGAGGATTGTTTCGTACGCGGGTAGAGTGAGCCATTCATGCCAACATTTCAAACTCAAACAAATTGCAGACGCTTAGTTCAAGTCACTCATTTTTGTATCCGGTCTAAATTTGGCATTCGACGCAGAAACTATAACAAAATGTTCATCCAAACTGGGCTCATCTACAGAGTTGGCCATTCACTACGTTACTGTAGTGGCAGCGTCTGTTTGAATTAAAAGTGACTTATAAATACTGCAGTCGAGAAAACTGAAATCGGAGATGGCGATGGTTGATACAATTTCTACCAAAACACCGACAGAGGTCTATGACACTGTATGACGGAAGCCCGAACGTGCTTGTTAAAGTGGTATTTTGCCAGAAACTGCCCATGTATCAATAACCAGTGTACCGTCTGCTACAAGAAAGGCCGTAAAGAAAGATATTGACGATCGGCCACACGATATCCTTATCTTGGGGGCCAGTCGAAACCGTCTCTGCAACGAGGAATCAAATGCGAGTCTAATTGGGTTTAAGCAACTCCGCAAGGAAGATTTTTTTTACTTCATAAGTTCATCATCGTCACTAACAATGGTCACTTAGTGCGTCTACAGCTGGATACCGCATCTGATATTACCATTATCTCCAATCCGACATTGTCGGCTATCGGTAGACCGATACTACCGCATGGAGTGCATCGAACATTATTCAAAAACGAAAGCGAACTGATGTGTCACGTTTCTGACAACCCGGAATTAAACGTACTTAACATCGATTGGATCCCCGCATTGAACTTGTGGCTATTGTAGGTATTGTCCAGTCCAGCTTGGTCTCGAGTAAATTGACCTTTGAAGCGAACCGTCTGTTCTTTTCAACGCAACGTCAAGGAAATGAAAGGAATCCCCTGACTCACTCCCTGTAAAGAATTTGATTTCGGGATGACAGTTGTTTAACGTTTCCAAAAGGATTTTCCCTTGCTGGTTAGTGTCAACTACTACAAAAGTGTCGTCGATGTATCTTGTGTAAAAGTGTGTCGCCTCAATAGCCTTGCGCAATTTCTGTTCTCCAGATAACCCACAGAGATATTGGCTGAATCGGTCCAAGAGGGTTACCCATCGCTACTCCCTCAATTCGACGAGATATTTCCATTAAAGTAAATATAGACATTTTTCGAACAGATGTGGAGTAACGCATTCTACAGATATCGAGACGTTACAGGACAGCTCGCAGTGGGCAATAGTGGTACGTCTGCTATCGTCTCCCAGTCTGACTGCCTGTTTAATGTGTGTTTGGTGCTGAGTTAACTGTAAAGTAATGGTTCATTCTGAAGTCCCGTAGTGAAAGCCCAAGAAAGCTGTCAGGCCGATGTCGCCTTATCTTTGTACGATAACCAGCTGTTTGTGACGGTATGTTGTTGACAAGGTGTAGGCGCCTTAAACCCGTGCGTTTGTTTAACGTCGGAACACGAGTTAGCGCCTCGAGCGACGCACTGCACTGGTCGCGATGGAACTCGTGCGCTACGGCATCGATATAGCCGTTATCAGTGGGACTAGATTTGCTGTGGCTGGTGCCGGGTACATGTTCTACTGTGTGTGAAACGTCAACACAGCACCACGTGAACATGGGGTCGGATTTACACTATCCGACCGTCTAAGTGGTCAACTGGTGGCAGAGCCGACCGGCATCAGCCCACGACTGATGACTCTTCGCATGCAACTTGGAAGGGGTAAATTTGCAACTTTTATTAGCACGTATGGTTCCCTCATTTGTTATCCTGATATCACGAGGGTTCAGTTTCACACTCAGTTGTCTGTGCTCAGGAGCGACCGGCTATTCTTACTGGGTGATATCAAAGCGCGCGTTGGGCGTGATGCTGCGGTGTGGACAGACGTAATCGGTCCATATGGTATTGGCACATATAATGGAAACGGTGATCGGCTACACTCACTGTGCGCCACTCACGGCCTGATGATGACGAACACCCGGTTTGCAGTGGGTGCGAGTGACATAGCTACCTGGCCCCGCCCACAGAGTGGTCACGCTCAACTGCTGGACTACCTCCCTGTACGCGGGCTCACGGCTTTAAAGATCAGAAGTCTGCCGTGTAATCCAGAGGTCGCGGGTTTGAGCCTGCGTATGGGACCATGCGGCCTTCGCAGTATTCTTAGCCCACGCGCGACTGGTGGTGGTTGTGAGACAGCGAAAAATTGGTACTGCATGCTGGCCGACTGCAGATGACTTATGTTGTCGTACGCCAGCGTGACATGCGTGAACTGCGCTTGAAACGTGTACTGCGTGTAGCTGAGTGTGGCACTGATCACAAGATGGTGAGGACCAAATTGTACATATATTTTCGCAAACATGTGCATTTATTACCTGGCATGAATCGGCGGCAATTTACTGTTCTTTCCCCAGATACTGCCGAGAAGAGGTCGCAGCTGGAGAATGCGATGGTTAACTGCATTGGCGATGTCGAATCTTTCGCGTCAGTCAGCGATCTGTGGCACCACATCCGGGAACAGGTGACGGTTGCCACCGAGGAAATGATCGGGCGCGCAAAATGTAAACTGACAAAATGGTTTGATGACAACAGTGGACCACTGCCGCATTGGTGTGAGTGATGCAGCATTCCCTGCACATGTGGATGATACTGCCGACACCGACACGAAGAATCAGTTTCTCAAAGTTCGACGGTGATGGACAAGAGTGCTCCGTCGCATCAAAAATGATTAGTGGCTAAAGAAAACGGAATAAATGTAATACTATGCCGAACGCCGCCAACATAAGGAATT